TGAGGAATGGGATGTGATGAAGAGGACAGCATAAGCTAAAAGTACTAGAAACACCAAGGACAAAGAAGTAAGGAAATGTGTTTGTTCCACTATCATGGGCAGAGAAAGCTCCCCCAAGCCCCCTGCCATGGCACCCTCAGTCACCCTGCCCACCATGCCCCATCAACACTGGTGTTCCCATAGCAACAGGAAACAAGGAGGTGAGGAGGTAGGAAGAGAGGAAGTGTGCTAAAGATTAGAGAGGAATTTTGCTGCGACTGCTGTTGCTGCTGCCTGGATTTGACCAATCTGGTGTTGAGGCTTTAAGATGCTCTAATTCTCTCCCCCCGCTTTCCCCTCTATCATCCGCACACACACTTGAAAGGAGACACCAGGTCAGGATGAAGAAAACATCTTAGAGAGATAATTCCAGGAACAGTTCTGTCGAGGAAGAAAGAATATTGTTTGAAGTGTTAATCAATATTTATGTCTTAACACATGGATACTGAAATAAAATTGCACCATTTTATGTTTTTTTCTTAAATTTAAAGTATGTGTTTGGTGTAAAGTTCTAGGACAAAGAAATAGCTTAAATTATAACTTCTTTTTATGTTACAGTTGTGAGTTGATATAAATGAATATACTGGAGCAGAGCTTTAACATCACATTTTCTACATTCTTTATAAAGCCAGTTGCAATTTTAATGTTTTGATTCAATAAAATAGTGTTTTATTTTAGTCCATTTAACCATTTAGAGAAAAAGAAGGAAATTCTGTTCCTCCAGTTTTTCACTTCCAATTGTGCGCTAGCATGCCGTGTGTGTGCTCTCATTAGCAGGTGGCAGCACGCGGTTGCTCGTTAGCACAGAGCTAGCTGAGCACTGGGGCATCGCTGCAGCTTCATTAGCTACTGTGACATTTATCTGATCGTTTCCCACCGTCTCCATAGCAACCACAAATACACATGCTTATAAACATTCACAAACTCCCCCTTTCAACTGGTTATTTATAGTTAATAACCTAGGTTATAGAGCTCATTTGGCAACCACCTAGATAGCATGCTTCTAGCATGATGCCTGGTTTGTAATTTCTCATAATATTGTGACAATGGCCCATGATCAGTGTAATAAACTATATATAGTTGAAACAAGGCTGCCAGTCAATTCCATTGGCCCCTCCAACCACCACTAACCACTTGCTAACACTCATACACACACAACCACACTAAGCGAAATGTCTTGCCCAAGGACACAGCACCAGTGTGCACTAGTCAGAGGGATGTTTCGAAGATTGCATCCTCCTCCTAGAATGACCTGCTTATTTGTTTAATTTTGCTAAATTCTGTTAAGGTGTCAAGTTTGCTTTTCCCCCAAGACTAGAATGAAACATGGCTTTCAAGGCCCATTCGGCCATTGTGTATTTGCTTGTTGTTGCGTCATTCACAGTGTTTTAGTGTGAGGTTTGTGTCAAGATGTGTCACTGAAGGTGTGAGTGTCCAGTGTTAGCGCCTCTGTACACGTGCCGCTGTGTGTCTGTGAGAATGCTGACCTGAACCGCCCTCTTCCCTTGGGGGTGAAAGTGATGTTTCTCAGTCTAGTTGTCAACAAGATTAGTTCTCCTGTGGGAGCGTTACACATCCAGCAAACAGACTGCAAATGAGAAAAGGAGGGTGACGGGTAGGCCCTTGCAGAAGTCACTCACAGGGGTTTGTTTTGTGGAGGCTGCAGTTTTGGGGTTAAGGGAGTCAGCGAGGATATGTGTTTTAGAGCAGAAGCAGAAGGAGGAAACAGCAGGGAGATGAACGCAGTCAACCTGAACTGTAGTCCGTGTGTATGCATGTGTGATATGGCTATGCATGTGTCTGTGTGTTGGCTGGTTTCTGAGAGACCACGCTGAGCTCTGAGCTGTGCTTACTTCTAGACCTGGTTTGTATGCAGCTGTCTTCTTCTCTCTCTCTCTTATTTTTATTCTAGCCCTACCTTCCTCAACGTCTCAGGCCTTTTTTTCCACTGTCTGTGAGCACCAAGTATGTGCCTGACTGCCAGTTGGTCTCCAGCTGTGAACAAGGCAAACACAGTGGATAGCAGGCAGTTTCTGAGGACCAGGCAGCTCATCCTGTGCTCCCATTACCCCTAAAATGGGGAATGTTTCCTTTTTTCCTCATAGTTTTGTTCACAAATAACCAGTTGAACTTTTCTGGTCAAACAGTCTCTTCATTGTTCCCACACCTATTACTCCCATAACTGACCAAAGTGTGGGTTGCCCCAAACTGAATCTCAAATCTCAACCTATCAATAACATCAGTTATCAGTTAAGACCAGCATGTGGTGAATATAATGTGATATAACGCTAAGCTGTAACCAACTGTATGAGTCACATTATTGTTTATACTTTATTTCTTTATTCACATTTGGATTTTTACAATTATGTTTGAGTGTGTTTGCTTTAGTTGCTGTCAGTGGTGGGATCATATTTCACGAAATACATAATCAGTAATCATTTGCACTGGTTAGTTTGTAACAATGGATGTGAGGATGTAACAAATTATGATATTTTTTTCAGAAACCTCAGATATACTCATCCACAGAGAACAGAGTGCAGATCAAGCCTGCCTAGTCACGGTCCCAGCTACAGCGAAACTGGAGTGATGGAAGCAATAGTTAAGCTATTAAGACAAACAATTGTCTCAAATTGAGAGGGAGAGAATGGAAAGGAAAAACAGAGGGAGGGAGATGGAGAGGCTAACGCAGGAGTGGATCCACTCAACGACTTAATCTGAGCCCCAGGACAGTCTCCTGCTGTGCAGCACACACTCTCACAAACATGTGCACACTACACACCACACTCACTTGTGTGCTGCAATAACACCTTGTCAGTCTTGGCCAAGGGGCAAAGGGAGAGTGCTCATTCCTTTGTAGTGAGCAGCGCCACCTACTTCCAATCACCTCAGGATACAACTGAGTATGCAGTCTTCACAAGAGTGATCTTTACATGGCCCTGTGCCTTATGGCTACAGAGTCAAACTCTTCTTTGTCTCAGTGGGTGAAGAATGGCGTCCGGAGTACAGTGAGGACAATGTCCTGCATGAGGGAGGAGCAGCTCTGACACCAGCTATTGTATGCTTTCTCCCATGGACTGGCTTGGGCCTCACATAAACAGCCAACAATAAGGGATTGTCTCAAGCGCTTCTCCCTGGGTATAGCTCACATACTACAGCTCTGGGATGGGATGGACAGGCTGCAGCACTTTGAACCCAGCAACCGTACAGGCCTAGCCCTGACAGTTATTGCACATTTATGTGCTTAAACATTGGCTTCAGAGCTTAATAGGAGCAATAACTTCTGTCCCTACCTCAGTGAAGGGGTTGCATTGCATTGAGGCCTGTGCACTTTATCGGACAGCTTAGTAGGAGCACTCGTGGCCCCAAGGACTGTTAGCACTGGTTTGGCTCGTTGACTCTTTCTCCGCTCTGGCATTTTATTTGACATGTCCTTTAAGTCCTTTAAAGAATTGGGCGTTTCTGCTGAGCGCCTCGGCTCTTTCTGCAAAAGATGGATGGCACGCATTCAAAGGTCTGCATTTTTCTCTCTTTTTTCCTCAGTGTTTCTCAATCTCCTAAAGATTGTTTTTCTAAGCTCTGTATGTCATGACATGGCATTAATGCTGTCAGATAACCAGTCTTAAGATTTGGCTTTGTTTTGTTACTGCCCCCTTTCTAGCTGTGACTGCTGCAGAGTGTAGAGTAATCAAACACATCTACATTGTTTCATGAAAGTGTTTTTTTAGCCATTAGAACTTTGCTGTCCTTAAACACAGTTCTCCTCAATTGTCTTTAGTACTCCTGCTGCCATCATCTCAACCAATTTAGCTTTTAATTGTGTTCATTTATTGTAAATGGTTTGCTGTCATTATTACTTTACATCAATGGTTGACGAGAGGAAAAACAGAGTCATCAACCTATAGACTACATGTGTAAAGTGTTGCGTACAGTAACATGGGCATCTGTTAGATAATAGTTGCCTGTAGTGGTTTTGGAGCTAATCTCTCATACACAGCTTCACATTAACAGCTGAAAAGCCTGGATTCATTCAGGCACTCAGACATAAGCAGATGCTCACACATGGCACTGCCTGGACAGCTGAACGTCGACATACATTCAGTGTGTGTCCCTGCTTCTTATCACAGATCACATGTCAGCACAGCACAGTGAATAGACCCACGTTTGTGGCACACATTAAATACGGACTTTGTGCTGGATATGCAGTTCAGGGAAGTGGAAGAAGGCATGTTTTATCTATGGGTTTTGTGCTAATGTACAGAAGTACATGAAAAGTAACACAGCTTTGTAGAGAAGTGCTAGCAACTGTATGAAACTTACCTCACCTCTTTTAATCCGTGAAACATGAAAACAACTGTATGGTTTTGCTGAGTTGTAAAAACTGGTGAATGCATAAGTATAGCAATTATTCATCATAGACATATCAAGTGTATAGGCCGCATTGCGATGCAATTTAATGGATATGATACTGTTCAGGAAACACCAAGTGAGAAGTTAAAAAAGAAACTGTGAAATGAGAATAAGTAACAAGGCGTAATGCACCATATCACTAGTACTATCCTAGAGAGCTGTTTCTCTCTCATGGTGCAACATTAGAGTCAGAGAAGGGGCTAAGAGGTACATGGTCTTTACAGAATTGTTGGAAATTTAGGCCGTTATGAAAATTTTATGGAATGATTGTATCTCTCCTGCAGCTCTTTTAAAATAAAGTATTCCTGGCCTGTACTCAGTAGAATCTATCAAAGTGGTACAAGGGAACAGGGGTGAACATGGGTGAACAGGGATGAACAGGCTATCACTGGGAGCAAAGACTGGACTTTGTGATCTAGTCTATCACAGAACTCCGATAGCCTTCATACAGGTGTTGGCATTTGGGATTTTGGGCACTACATAACTCAGAGTATTGCTAAAATGTATGTTTTGGTTACTTACACATGTTTCTATTTGTGTGTTTTTCTTTACAGTAATGGCACTCCTGGGAAGATGAACGGGGCACTGGAGCATTCGGACCAGCCTGACCCGGATGCCATTAAGATGTTTGTTGGTCAGATCCCGCGCTCCTGGTCAGAGAAGGAGCTCAAAGAACTATTTGAGCCTTATGGAGCAGTTTACCAGATCAACATTCTCCGAGACCGCAGCCAGAACCCTCCACAGAGCAAAGGTAATAGGCTGTAAAACTATTATGTGTTAGACTCGGAATATGGACTTGTAGTACTTGTTTTGTGATGTAAGCTGACATAAATGGTTGTACCAAAGATATAATGTGCTAAATTGCAGTTACATTTCATGCACCATTTAAAGACAAAGCCATGTCAGACATAAAGGCTCAGTTGTTCAAATTCACATGATTCGCAGCTATTTTCTCGCTTTCCTTTTTATTTTTGAAGCTGTTTTTTTTTTTTCTATTGATGAATTTGTCATGTAACACTGCAAATAATACAGACACTAGCAATGAATAGGGAGACAATAGTGCTGCCATATAAACAGGCATCAAGCAGTGGGGGGGCTGATGACAGGCCTGATGAGATGTGCTAGTGGGAGGGAAGAGAGAGAGGACATAAGGAAGAGGAAATGCTGTGTTTGCATCCCAGTGAAACTCCAATGAGATGTCAAGTTTGACACTGTCACAAAATATCCATCACAAGTAAAGGATTGACTGTTCTCTTATAAAACTTTAAGATCTGGCTAAAATAAGTACTTTCTTTCTCCATAATATTAATAATAAATTAGTTGTTTTGTGTTTCAGCCATAAAAGATTTTAAATTACTCTAATAAAAAAAAAAAAATAAAAAACATAAACAGCAATAAATGCAATCAGTCATTGGAAATTGTATAGATTTTATAGATGACTACCAGTATATGTTTTGTAAAGTATTACAATTATGTCAAAACCCTTGAAGATTTGTGTTGTCTGTATACCATATTAGATTTATTAGAATTCTGATGACATGAACCAGAAAGCCAGTGGTTTAAACATCACCTTAACAAAAATACTGTTGCTATGTTACTTCACCTAACATTGCCCACAGGAAGGACATCCATCATATTATAAATGTATAAAAAAAAAAAAAAAAAAACTTGGAACAGTCCATGGTTTAAATATACCTATTGCCTGAAAACTATGGTGGTGTCAAATGAGGTGATAGACATAAACAACAGTGAGTCATTTGTGTTTTGAATGTGAAATCCACTTTGAGGTGTGCTGTCCTTCACCTCCCTCTCCCACACACTCCATCTCTGCCTGCTTCTGTCTGAGTCTCTCCAGCTGCCTCTTCTCTCAGTCACATGAGTTTATGTGATCACAACTCCACAATATTCTCTTGCGTAATGCTGAATGCATTTTACTTTGAGATGACTTCTACAGTTACTTTTATATCTATTGTGATGGATGGCAACATGAAAAGAGTTCTCCTTAAAGTCCTTTGCTTGCCCCCACTCTTTGGCGTACTATTCAAATATTTATTTTTCCTTGGACTAATGAGGTAAGTGTATCACTTGATTCCACTTAAAACACAGAAAAATCCAGGCAGGCACTATTCCATTCCTCTCTTTTCACTAATTGAGATCTCTCGGCCTGATTTGTTTTTCTATCTCGGAGTGAGGTGGAGTGTTTTAAAGGGAAATGTTGCATTTGATTGGGCTCTTAGTGGCCTTGGTTTGTGCAAGCTTTAAGCACTGCTGTTGTTTTTCCAAGTTAAGTACACAGCCTGTCCTCATCTGCACCAGCTCAACAAAAAATGCCCATAAATGCTTGCACTATGTACCGTTCATCTGAGTAGAGTCAGAGATACCACGACCTCCTGAAGTTTTTGTTTCATATTACAAAAATGAATACTTTTTCTGGTTTTGAAAAAAGATCTCAGCCAATTTGGGGACAAATAAGGCACTACCACACAAACCGGTCTTGACCTTTACATCTTCTTCGGCAGTTTTGATTTAAATGAGTTTGTTAGTCCCACTGAGCAGAAGATGGACCAAACTTTGGCAACTAGAGTTTACAGCTCGACTTTACTGTTTCCAGTGTTTGTATCCTCATTAGCTGCCACTTCTAAAATTGTTCGTCCAAAACACAACAACATCAAGAAAACAGGAACTGTGCAACATAATGTAACACAAATTGACAGCAAAAGTTTGGCAAGCAACAGACTTGTCTTCAAAAATAAACTTGAGAATGGGATCTAAAAAGTTAAAGAACAATTATGATGCTATTGTACATCTTTCTGATCCTTGGAAATGTACATGGTACAGAAAATCAGAGTTTACCCTTGTACTGTTACAGTTGCAAGTAAAAAAAAAAGACAAATTATAGGCAAATAACTCAATGAAAAGACACCAAGTTTATTACTGTTTTATTTATTTATTGTTTATATATTTGTATTTTTGAAAGTCACCACTATTGCTGATTAGCCATGCATGAAATAACATGTAGGTCATTTTAGTATGATGAGTGATTAATTGATTGAAATTAGTGATGAAATTGTAAAACCATCTTCCATGGAGAATAAGGCACCCAAATGTTGATTTAATGTGATACCGAGTTGATAACAAAATGACTGGATAAGCCCGGAAAAGATGAGAAATTGAGATTTTTTTTTCCTGTGGAATGAGGAGAAGATGGAGGGAATGATAAAGGAGGAATTAGAAAAAGACTACCAGAGGGGTAAACACAAAACGTCCTCTTTTTCTATGACACAACCTTTAGGGCTGTGTTTGTGTTCATTGTGGTAGCAAGAAACAATTCATAACATCTATTTAAACTATATTGGCTACCTGGACAGATATCTATAGTGTTTTAGTTGTATTCTGTGGTTGACATTGCTTTTCACCTCAAGGATAGCCACCTCCATGTGTAAAATAATAACAAGTAGATGTGAGAGAACAGAACAGAAAATAAACAGGAGTTAGCCTTGCAAATGTTGTAAATAGATGTGGCATCGCTCACTCAAAGAACAGAGATCTCAGTGGGCCAAGGTGTGTGGTGCATTGATAGGGTAAAAAATGTTTTCTGTATTTTTCCTTCAACAATCCACTGTGATACTAAAATAGTTTAATTTGAAAATACCATCTCATCTAATGCTGAACAAACAACAGCAGTATACTCTTCATTTATACAAACCCTTGATAAATCAGGTATTCATCAGTTGCTGTGTTATAAAGGCATAACAGTTGAGTAACACCAAAGGAAGCTCTTAAAGGTGCACTGGGTAACTTTTCTGGAGATATTCCACAGCATAGCACTAAACTAATATATCTTGCATGTATCATTTACAGGTGTTTTTATTACTGTAAAAACATGCATTTGGGGCTGGTCAAGCAGAAGTATACAGCAAGGCCAAAAATTCAACTTAATGCATCTGATATAAAAATGTATTCAACAGATAGCATATGTACTCTGGTTTATGAAACGGTTTACCTTTTTTCTGTACCATTTTTGGTTCTAAAGTTACATATGTTTTAAACAGACCATGTATGAAACATGGAACAAAAATTATTTCCCAAATTTTAAAGACCTGCAAATCATGTAAATAAATGGATGTATTTCATCATATCTTGTGTTATTCGACCTTTGAACTGTTGATGAAGGTACATGATTTTTTTTTTATGTATTTAAAATGATAAAAATTAGCTTGGAAGGACTGACATATTTTATAGAAATAGTTTCCTTTCATTTTGAAGTAATATTAAAGTTTTCGGAAGAAAAAAGCTGATAAATTATGCAAAATCATGCACCTTCTACTTGCTTGCACAATTTTCCCTCCGTTACTTTTCCCTCCGTTACCATGACCTTTCTTAATAAAAAATCTCATTACTCAAAAAGTAAGAGGTTTTTCAACCTAATCTTGTACCACATTGTAGAAAACTATATGAAGCAAATATTCAAACCAGTTTGTTAAGGATATGTAAGTGAGAACCGTTATCGCTGTTTGTATTTATTGCCCAAAAAGTGCTGCATATGTCATTTCCTCCGTTACCGACATGAGTTTTTTTATTTTTTGTCAACAACTTGAAAGAATATCGTAGGTTTAACTTTACCCTATTGGAGTGCTAACTCTTTCCTACATTCTAATACCTTACTTATTTCAGTAGTCCCTCTAGTTTCTGAATAATAATCTGCCCGTTGCCCTCCGTTACCGCTTGACCGGACCCATTTTTACTGTGAGCAGGCCCACTTTTCCACAGATCTGACTTAACTTGGTGATGTGGCCTGCTTGTCTCTGTGGAGATAGTAAAATTAAACACCATAACTGTAGAACATTCCAGATGAACATAATGACAAACTCTCTGACAGACCCTCTTGTACAAAAATTACATAGTGCACCTTTAAAGGCAGCGAGAATAGTAATAATAGTAATATTAGTACATTTAAAAAATCGCTGGTCACGGTGATCACTGGTCAAAACATCATGATATAAACAGCGTATAGAAAAACATTCAAAAGCCAAGAAACCAGAAACAAAAGATTTAATCTCAAACTGCTGAAAACAGTCTCTTATCCTTTGTCTAACACATACTGTCCAAATACTTCTGCTTTTGCTTTAAAGTACAAACTGACTGTATTCTCTTACCCATCAGTTACAACAGAGCAAATACCTAACTGTCCGAGACAATTATCTGCTCTAATGGATTCATCTGAGACAGGGCCCACTCTAGACAGACAACCGACTTATTTCATTCTTTCCTAAAGCAGAGACGCCAATTATGTGGCCTTAACTAGATATAAGCTTTTTTAGCAACTTAGTCGAGCCCAATTAGGGAGCAGCTGCAGGTGCATTTTAATGGGAAGGATTCTCAGCTCAGAATTCGAATTAGGCTTTTTTTTTTTTACCTCACTGTTTATACTTTTGCATGCCTCAGCAACATAGACTGTTGCCTGGTTGAATTCGCAGAGCAGGGATTTTACCCTTTGCTGAAGTGTGTGTGCTGGCGTGAGTGTGCACTTCAGGGTTAGTCAGAAAATCGGCTTTGATTCCCGGAAAGTGCTTGTTGTCTCCAGAGATACTGAGAGGAAGAGGATTTGTGTTGATTGGTGTTATTCCCTCAGAAGTAACCTGAAAATGGTATAGCTTTGCCTACTGGATACACCATGTAGCTGTCACATACATGCAACTCTAAAACCATTCTTCTTTATCCCACATGGCGTTGTCTATGCAATAAATAAGCAATGTTTGTCAGGTGATAGTGGAACAACACTTTTATTTAGGTTGCTGCTCCCTTCTTATATGTGGTTTCCATGATGAACAAGTGCATTGGACATTTGATAGATTTTTGTGTGATAAAACATGTCTGCATCAAGTCATGTTACTATGACTGGAATGGTTAACAAGCTAAATGCTGGATGTCAAACGTCCATAACCATTAGTAAGGGTAACTGTCAGCACAATCAATTAATATTTTAGGCATAGGTTTAGGCATAGGCTTAGGCACAGGGTTTGGCGTTTTCCATCAGGGGAATTTCAATGTGTGAATGATAGTTAGCCATACATTATGAGTGTTTGTTGGTACTTCAAAAAACAATAGATGAGTACCCCAAGGTAAACAGCCAATATTTATGTTTTATTCAGCATATGCTCAGCCATGGCAATGAAATAAACTAAATAGAATTATGCAACAGTGATACCTGTGTTCCTCCGCTTCCTGCATGCCTCCTCACCTCTTCACTCCTCTCTGTCCTCCTGTGTTGAGCTGCAGGGTTGGGTCGACCCGTCATCGGATGGGGGTTGATTGGTTGACAGAGGTGAGGAGCAAGGGTCTTCTCTCACTCAGAGTGCATCGCCAGCTGCCAAAACTATTTATACTTGTTCTTGGTAGCCATTTTTGACCATTCATTCTCATATCTTTCTTTTCTCCAGACAGACTTTCAAACATGAGCTTATTAAAGCCCTCTTCATTTGATCAGGTGTATAGTTTGTTCAAATGTCCCTGATCTACAGCAGAGGTAAAGAGTGCTTCCATGCATATATCTCTCTTACCAGGACAAAGCATAGTCAAGTCTCTTGTATAGTTCTTGTTCAGCTTACTCAGTTTACTGCCTTTGTCTCAAAAGGAAGTCATCAAGACAGTATATGTAAATTCTTCTCATCCTTCAGTTTTGTGTTCACTGGTGGCAAACTGGTTAAATGAGACTGTGGGATCATCATCTGGCCAGCTGACACAAAATGTATATGGAACAGAAAACTCAAACTGACAAGAACATTGATTGTGCAAAAACAAGCTTGCTCAAGACTAATTTAAATGAGATGCACCCAGAAGAAAATCCAGCAGTATCTCTAAAATGAGAAGAAATAAGCATGTCAAGTCTTGGAGCTTTCTGTTTCCATGTTGCGAGCATGCTGACTCTTAAACAGGAGAAGCAGGATCTCGGGATAGTGTGTGCGTAAAACTGTGTGTGTGTGTGGCTATGTGGTCCACTCCTCTGCTCTTTGATCCTGGTTTGACAGCACACCACCTGGGACCCTCCACCACACGCTGCATAGCTCCCAGGCTCTGACTACACTGTAGGAATCACAAAACACTGGCTAACGTGGCGCTAACAGCTAGCCCTCCCCTTCATATTACATGCCATCAGAATCACTAATGCTAAGACCCAAAGCTAACCCTCCATTGTATACAGTGGAAAATCCAGCTGCAATCATTATTCATCGCTCACAGTACAGTTGGAATTGCTAATGGCACTCAAGGGTCTCAGACTTGAACACAGGTAAAATAGAATTATATTGTTGCAATGTACAATGCTGGGTCACTGCTAGGTTTTCTGTTGGAAAAGGATATAGCTTATCCTGCAGGCACTGACGGCTGTTCCTTTTGGATTTAACTGTGGATATCTATATTCATAAGAAATACACTGACTGTGTAGCAACTGGAGAGTTGTCAGAAGTAATTCCCGTAACATGGTCATGAAAATCTATTATGTAGACCTTTTAACAAAATAGACTATGAATGCCTATTATCCCAGTAGCCCCAAGGTGTGCTCTAGGAAAACAACTGACCTGTTTTATTGATTATTGAATTTATGTCTTTATCAACTTCAAACTGATGTAGTTAGCCGGAGTGCCTATCGTGGAAGTCCGAGCAGGAGGAAGAAGGAGAATTTAATTTGCAGCCAATACACAAGCACAGAAATCCGGATGCTAGCACTAGGCTAAGGGCCAACTATCCAAACAGATCTGAGACCCGGAGGAGGTCGCAGGATTTCAGCTCCATTACGCTCCCAGACTCATCAAAGGGACCCGGGGATCAGGAGGATAAACCTGCTCCAGATGCTCACTGCTGGGTTTCACTCAGATGCACCGCAGGGCAAGTGTCACCAGAACGGAGGCCTGTGATACGTCCAACACCCCCTCAACTGTCTCACCCATTAACACTTAGCAGCGCAATGGGGATGTCAACAAAGCAGCTGTGAACAATGGAAAATGTGTGGTTAGACAGTATGCACATGCCGACTTGTTAGTTAGTCTATTGTGTATCATACAGGAACAAGGACTCATACTCCATCTTTACCATACAGTTCAAAGGTGTGGATTAAATAATGGTTTTCAATGTAAATAAAAAAAAAAAAAACTGACAGATAGGTTGTATGTCTAATTATCTTTGCCTTACAACTAATTATTTGATTTTATGTCAGCCTGTGTAAATGCCTGTGCTGTGTAAACCTATAAAGTCAAAGTAGTCATAAAGTGGCCCAGTCTACAGAGAGCTGTGTTGCACATAGCCCTAATAGCAGTGCTTGTTTATAGAAGGAGATGAAAGCCTCACACCTCTCTGTCTGGCCCTAATGTGCTCCCTCTCAGTTTTAACCTGACTGAGCGTTTTTATCATACTGAGTCAGCAAAAAACTACCACGCTCCCAAACTGTTTCTGCTTTGTTCTTTGGGGATTAACCACAATTAAGTCCAAACATTTGCCCATATTTTTCACCTTTTGATTCTGAAAGTCCTGTGGGGTCCTTGTGTTTATCTTTATGGGCAAGCAAAATGCACAAGTTACAGTATTTTGTACTTCACCTGCAATTCTTAAAAGTTTAAAAATGCTGATAACTAAAATAGCTTCTGTATAATTTTGAGACTATTTTGATTATTTTTGTGGATTGAGCAGACAAAGAATGAGGATAGCTAACTTAGATAATTGCAGCCTGCCCCCGATAAAGCTGATGAAAATTGATGCCCAAGCCCTTCATGCCAATCTTATATTGAAAGTACACACTGGAATCTAGCCTTGTGGTCATGGTTAACCAAAATATACAGTAAATATATATATATAGTTAAGCTATTGTGAATCAGTTGCTATTGTTAGATGTTACATGTTTACATTATCATGTCAATATAGGAATCTGAGGAATATAAAATGATGTTGCATGGCTCACAAACTCACTGGACACATATCCATGTTTTCCAAGGTGTGTGCTGGTTCTGTTTGTGTGAGTCTGTGGGCACAATAACACATCCTTCTTGCTCATGTCTCAGAGGCTCAAGTCATCAGCGTCAAAACATATTCCAAAGTGCTGCCTTCTTCTGCTCTGTGTTTTCTCCTTAACATTCTCGCCATGTCGGCTGGTGTCGACAGGTGATGCCGGCAGATGAATAGAGGAAGTGCTTTTGTTGCTGCTTGTGCTCATCCTTCTCTTTCTCTCTCTCTCCCCAGGCTGCTGTTTTGTCACGTTTTACACAAGGAAAGCTGCCCTTGAAGCCCAGAATGCACTGCATAACATAAAGACCTTAACAGGGGTGAGTGTCCTCATTTCTCTTATACTAGTGTCAAGTTTTATTTTACTTACTTTAATTTACCTTTGTTTTACCAAACAAAACATTAAAAACAAATTCTTATTTACAATGTTTGCATGGATGTGCTAGAGCTCTCAAGGGTATGGGAGAGAAGAGGGGCAGAGAAGCCATTTGCATTATCACACCCACACACAGTAAGATTAAATCATCAGTTATTAAAACATTTACAGAAGTTCTCAAATGTCCCTGTGTCCAGTGAGAGAGCAGGTGGGCTCTGCCACAACCTTAATATAAAAGTAGATTAGATCACACCCATAAAACATGCATCTAAGATACAGGTATTAAATAACTTTTTGTCTGAAGTTACAACAGCACAAGATAACAATTTAGGAGGAAGAGATTTAAAAACTAAGAAATCCACTCTTGGAACCGACAAGCAACAACACATTTCTAATGTAAAATGTAATTATAAGCTGCTTAGGATCCAAATACAGACTTGTTTAGGCATTTTATAAACGCATTGCATAACATCTACATCTGCTGGATGCTGCATGCTTCTGGACAAGAAATGTGTATGTACAATACATGCTTGTGCACATCTGGCTTTGACTCTGACAATAAGGCTGTGTGCACATGCTGTGACATTGTTGTCCTCATGTTGTATGCTCTGTGATTGTTCTGTCCTGGAGCACTGCAGGAGAATGACGAAGGCAGTGGGCTGGAGACTCTCTCAATCGTGCTCCTTTAGCCCGTGGTGGATATTTAGTGGCCCCCGGATCCCTTCTGCTCGGGCTATTGGCTGTTTCCCTACCTCTCTCCTTGGCTGCACCAGCTAACTGGAAACTCATCATGTGAGCGTGTGTGCCCACTTGCTTCTGTCAGTTGGATCAGAGGATAGGCCCCCTGGGCAGGATGGGGCGGATACTGCAAACCCCATAAGAGCTATATTCACGATTTGCGCCTGGGCTCCTGCTTCCTATTCAAGCTTGTTGTTTTGTAGAGCCTCCATGTTAATCGTTTCTGGACTAAGTGTGTTAAGTTTGTTGTGTTTTTGTGAACCATGAGAGTTAGTCATTTATCTGGTGTTGAAGGTGTGAAAGAGCCCTCATGGGAGAACATGTTTCAGGAACAGTCAATCTTCTTTTAACACTATGACTAAGCCCCTCCTCTGCTACACTGACTTCATCTTTTACATCTCTGTCTTTCTGCCTCTTGTTCCACCTTTTATGTCTCTGTCTGAATCAGATCACACAGTCAAAACACTTCTTTCTTAGCTGACCCAACAAATACACACTAGTAATTTACTACGCACAAAAATGATTTGTACATCCCACATTTTGTTAAACCAGTTGACAAAAGACTATACATTTAACATTTAGTGCATATGCTGTATTTTTAAATTGTGGTTTTGATATTCTGCTGACATAAAAAACATGTAGACAGTACACATACAAAGAAGCCTTGCAATGAGGATTCTTAATGAATTGCTGAAAGAGTCAAGAGAAAATGAGTAAGCTGGCAGATGGGGAGAGAAGGAAACGCAGTCCAAGGTCAGTGGAGGTGCTGTGCAGATGGACAGGGAAGAGGTGGAGTGGAGCTCTTCACTGTGCTGCAGGGCAAAGCAATAAACGGGCCGCAGTTAAAAACCAATACCTGCTTATTAACTTCTCTGCTCTCACGGCTTGTAAAAGCTGTAGAACAATGTTTGTATTGGCACTCTTCCCTCCCCTCACTCTATCTCTACGTCCAACCCAGGCCCTAACAAGGGAAAGATGCAATCAGAGTGAAAACTGGATGGGGGCCAAATTGACAAAAAGGGCACCAGTATTGGCAGAACAAGTTGGCAGCTATGTAGTGTTAGGACAGTGGAATGATTTCACTTCTGAGTCAAGCATGCGTTCTTCAGTTTAAGTTCATAATTTTCTCATAACGCATTGCACTTTAATGAATCATTTGTCATTTGTTTGTAACGGCCACCTGGAGATTTGGCAGTATATGTGGTAATGTGATGGACTCTGGCTACGAGTTTATAATTATGAGCACTGACAGGCAAGGGAACCATACCAGAGAGAATTACTGGCAAAGACGAGAATGTTGTCTAGTTGAATCATCATGGCAGTTGACATATCCTTTGTTACAATAATGCAAACGTGTCATGTCTGTTGATTAGTTTGTTTATCATCTGATAATGTACAGTGCTAATACTTGTACTATTTTCATACATAAGTTTCCATTTGGTAGATATGAAAAATATATAACATTTTTTTAAATTAAATAAAATATACAAGATACACAACTAATATACAACTAAATTATAAGTATAAATATACAACTACATTATAAGTAATAATAAAGTAATTTTAACACATATTTCACATTAATTTTATAGTATTTTTTATCACACACTTCAGAAAATATTTCTTGCTTCAGAAATTAGATACTGAAGTATTGATTCAAAACACACAAGAACACAGAGTTTGACCTTATATCTGGCTTTGAACAAGTTGTTTTACAAGGCTCTTGAGTACAGCACTTGCGATTACACAACACTAAAAACCCAGAAGCAATAATGGAAATGCAGCATTATAAGAAATCTCTAATAGCTGTCTTTTGATACAAGTGTTATGGCAACCTTTTCATACATATCTCTGCTATTGAAGTTGTACAGCTTCGAGCTATGTAACACTATAGTAAATAGAAGAGTATGTTTTATATAGGACCAAGATTCAGTGGAATGTTTGAGTCAGTCTGGAAGTGTTAACGACACACTGTCTTCCTGTCTCAGAAAAGTGATCTGAGTTACAGTGGATAGTTGTCATATAGATTCAATCCTATACTTTTTATTATATATTCCATTTACTCTACACTATGTATTGATCAGTCACATTTTTATCTCTGAGTCTATTTTCCATAGCATCTGTCAGTGGGTTTAGAACATGTGGGCACAAAGTGTTGTCAACAAGCATCTATGTTAAAAGCAAACTGATTGAGCACTAAGGTCACCAATGATGTTCAGGTGGCCAAATGGATTCCTGTACATTTCAGAATATTTTTCTCTACTCTTATGGCAGATAAAACATGTTTTAGAAGAATAATTATGACCATGCCTAATTTTTAAGCTCAGAGCTGTACTGAAGTAACAACACTGAAGCGTGACACTAATTTGCATACAACACATGCTATGCCATGCTTTTACCAATATTCTTGATTTTGCATAACTACTCATGTCGAATAACAACAGTTTGCCAAACTTGTTCCTAATGACCTGCTAATGAAGCTCCTAGGGGGTGGAGACAGAGTCTGTGTCTGTCAGCATGTTTGCCTGGAGTTCATCTCGTCAACACTCTAATAGCAGCAGTGAGTCTAAATAGTGCATTTTCCTCTTTTCTCTCTCACATACACACAGCACTGCAGCCTATCTATTGTTGCAAACATGCTTGGTACCCCTGGAGCGCCTTAAAGTCATAAGAGCCAACCCCCGCTGCTGGGGCTGATGTGCGCCCCCTGCCAAACTTGTGCTCTGAGCATGTCCCACCACTGACTTTATTACATTACATTATTTTCACTTTCACCTCTCTCCACTCCTCCTGATCCACTCCATGCATATCCAGAGATGTGTGTTTACAACAACAGCGAGTTAAAGCCTGTCAGCGTGCCTGTCAGACAAGGTTGTTTGAGATTTTCCACTAAATTAAACTCTTTCATTAGTGGCTGACAGATGTCTAAATGCCCAGAGTCGGCTACCCCCCACCACCTCTGCTCAATGAGTGCACCCGGAGGCCACTGCTCCATCTGAAGCCATGGTTCAGAAGAAAAGAAAGAGGATAAAAAGGAAAAGAGAGGGAGCTTAATACATATGTTTCCTGTCTAGAGTACCTTTATTTTAGTGACATTTTGTCACTGTCAACTGCACTGGTTTGTGGAATGGCTGGTTGATATTTAAAAAAAAATAATAATAATAAAAAATTATTCAAGTCTTCTTTTCTTCTGGCCTCGGTCACCACAGCAAACTAGTGATGCGCTCAGTGATTGGGTTCAAGACTGTTGAATTTCTTATCTTTTCTAATCAGTTAAATATAGAACTGGGATGAAGAGGATTTGTCACTAAACTAACAGAACTTAAAGGTCTGTAAGGTTTTTTATTTAATTCTTGAAAATTGTGTGTAACTGCCTTACTTGTTTCAGCTACTTTCTTTAGCTTTCCTCAGAAGCGTCAGTTGATGGTGTAGTGATGTGTCTTGTAGGCTTCTTACAAGACACATCACTATAATAATAAGGTGTAGGCTCCTTTTGTTACGATGTATGACCTGATGTGTCAATTCTAATTGCATATGCAGAGGGCATCGGGTGCAAAAACGTGCTACTTACTACTCTGAAGAAGGCAAGTGATGAATGAAAGGACATAGTGTCTGACCCTGAACTGTGTTTGCTGTATTTGAAAATATAGTAACCAGGGATAGATTGGCCTTGACGAAGGTTTGTGCTCACCTTACACTCTCCTACACCCATATCTTACTTTTTCTTGTTCTTTTTTTATTGAGTTCAAACTGTCCGTCTCTCACTGTCTGTACAGCTAAGCATCAAACCTCCTTTGATGCTCCCTTGTCCCATTGTGACAGCCAGTTAGAGGGGAGTATTGGGTTGGTGGCAGCAGAGGGGACTTGGATACCTGAGGAGCGGGGTGGTGGGCTGGTCCACACGGGTAGCTCTATCCTCCATGTGGGTGGATCAGAGCATTTGGCATGTACTGGGCTTGATAAGAAGCACGGGGCTCATTAAAACCTGCCGTTGAACTGAGACCACACAAACGCAGATCCCCACCTCCCTTACCTTTCTGTTGCTGAGATAATTAGTGATGCTCCGCTGGCAGCGTACAGGCACAAGGTTGACTGTTCTCCAGCAAACCAAAGGCACATCAAAAGCCCCCATCAAAGTGAGCGCGATCTTGAGTAAGGTTAGGGTTTAAATGCTCAGAATTACAACCCAAAAGACGTAGCTCATTT